TTAACATTTTTTGATGGAAATCTTTTTGAATTATGTACATGTGTGATGAAAGGACTTAGAACTAATTGAACGTAACCTCATATGTGCATGTTCAAATGAAATCTCAAGAAACGTTATATCAAAAGAAAATACCGCAGTTGCCTGCCTGTTAGTGTGTTCTCTATTTCTATGTTTCAAACTCAAAATTAATAATTCTACATTCTATTTTAATAAGACATTCATTATTCATTCATTGTTAGTGATTAGTTGCATTTCCAATTATTTTATTTACAGAGCCCTCTGGCGTCAACATGCACTTTTACTTACTTGCATGTGCTGATAAGGTCATGACCCCAAAACAGCAGTCACTGGCTGCCATGGCAACAAACCTATGGCTGGTCACTTGATATCTTCCCCACAGAGTTTAGTTTATTTATACAATTATTTTAATTTTAGTTTAACATCTCAATTGGACAAAATAAAACCTATTGGATATTGGCAAACTTTCTATTTCCTATTTTCCTTTTAATAATAATATACAAGGAATACAATGTAGAAAGCTATTAAGAATTGACAAAACGAGGGACTGAAAACTGAACATGTAGCCACACCACCATTACCGACTAATAGAATTAAGTATATCATTTGTATTTATCTTTTAGAACATCTGATTTTTGCAAAGTATTTGGGGGGGGGGGGTAGGGTAATCCTTACTCTAGAACAGTGAATGTAGTGTGTTTTCTTGTGACCAGATAAAAATGAAATTATTTTGTATTCGCTAGCTAGATAGGAAAGTACAAATCTTATTTGTTGGCAATCTTCTTGAACTGTTTAACAGTTAAAGAAGATAGAGTTGTCAAGAAACAATATTACATTCATGGAAAAGGAATTGAGGAAGCCTGGTGACACGTACATGTCAGTAGTACCGTGGGAGTAAAACAAGCAGCCTCTCGGCTGAGATAGCTCCACTGTTAGCAATGCACATTTCAATTAAAGAACAGAAGATAACATTAGAAAATGAACAATATGCATAGTATCAATGCAATGGGACTTGCTGTTTTCAACAAGAATTTAAAAATATAATTTTTCACCATAAATGATTGTGATTTTTAACAAGAAGTTGAAAATATCACTTTACCAAAAATGACAAAAATATTCACCAAAATTAGAAAATTGAAGATATCATTACAAAATGAACAAATCTGAGAGTGGTCCACATGTAGTACCTATATATGTAACATCAAAGCAATTGGACTTGCGGTTTTTAACAAGAAGTTGAAAATATCATTTTTTACCAAAAATTACAAAAATATTCACCAAAATTAGAAAATTGAAGATATCATTACAAAATGAACAAATCTGAGAGTGGTCCACATGTAGTACCTATATATGTAACATCAAAGCAATTGGACTTGCGGTTTTTAACAAGAAGTCGAAAATATCACTTTTTACCAAAAATTACAAAAATATTCACCAAAATTAGAAAATTGAAGATATCATTACAAAATGAACAAATCTGAAAGAGGTCCACATTTAGTATCTA